ATAATGAATAAATGTAGTTGGCAATACTAGCAACGTACAGTGCTCGATACACGTGATAATGCAGAGCGTAAATATTGAAAAATGTAGAACTTGGTATAATCACTCTACAGACTGTTTCATGCTAATGCAATCTTCAGGGGTGAGAAAATACAAGGATTGTGTGAGTATATGAATGCTAAGGCAGGTTAAAATGCAAATGAGTTAATTGTTTTTAAGTAATTATTTGTTGTTGTGCTTGCATTTAGACAACAGCTCGGTTCTTTTTTTTAGTATTGACTGTTTGTCTGAATATATTATGTGAAGTTTCTCGGTTATGCATAAGGTTGCAGCGTTTTGTTTTTGAGGAGTAAGTCGATGCTTTGTCGATAATAGACCATATATTGTAGGGTGTGTTTTATTTTCCATACGTATTTGGAGAGTACGGTGCTGTTCTGTGTTTGGGGGTGTTAAAAGTGTATTTGTAGTTTGTGTATCGGGTTTTGAACGGTGTGTCAGTGAGCCCGATGTAGCATCTTGTGTCATCATTTGATGATGGATGAGGTGAGGCAATTTCCAGAGAGTGGACATTCATTTTTTTCTGCAATTGCAGAGTTTTATCTCGCTGTTGTTGCTTAGCAACCAGAAGCAGTTTGTTGTGGGCTCTGACATTGTTCTTGTTGAAGGTGTTTACCTAGTGTGATAGCTGGTACTTGTGCGTGCCATGTGCTACATGTTAGGCCATGTGGGCCTTGTATTTTGAATAAAGTGTGCTAGATACATATATACATATATATGTATATAAATGTATATATAAGTATATATATGTATATATATATACGTATATATATAAATGTATATATGTATATATATATATATATATATTATGTTCCGTAACACGTCAACCTCTTTTACTTACTTATATATATATATATATATATGTTTGGAACTGTCTCTTATACACATCTAGATGTGTATAAGAGACAGTAATAACACAATGCTCAAATATATAAAAACATGATATTATAAAACCGTATCAAACATAGCTCATCAACGGAAGGTCCTTGTTATAGTTGTATGAAAAACAGAGGTATCTGGTTCGCTATCTCGGTGGGGATATTACGGATCTAAGACCACTAGTTTCAACTTGAGGGCTCACACATAATGGAGCAAATTTTTAAGCTACATAATAGCTTTAGGTAGCAACTGGTAAATCATAGGAAATAATATTTAAAGCAACTTGCTCTATAGCACTGGGGACACAAATAATGTATGAATCAAATAGATAATGATACAGTGCTCAAATATATAGGAAAATCGTATCAAACATAGTTCATAAAAAATTACCAATTATTATATTTGTATGAGAAAAGGTCTCTGGTAGGAACTTGATTTGATTGTTTTTATTTTTTTTTCT